AGCTCCGGCTCGTCGTCGTCGTCTTCGGCGGCCTCCAGCCCGGCCGCCGCCGACAGCCCCGACCCGCCCCCTCCGCCGCTGCAGCCGCCCCCTCCGCCGGTGGGCAGCGGGGCCTTCCGCGAGCTGCTCGAGGCCTGCCGCAATGGGGACGTGACCCGGGTTAGGCGCCTGGTGGACGCCACCAACGTCAACGCCAAAGACATGGCCGGGCGGAAATCGACTCCTCTGCACTTCGCCGCCGGTGAGAACGGAGGGCGAGGCGGAGGGGGAGGGTGGTCTTAGCGGGGCAGAGCCCCGGGGTGTGTGCGTGTGTGTGTTCGTGCGGGTCCCTTGTGGCCCCTTCCTGGAAGGGCGGGGGCCGCGGATAAAGCTGCTTCGCACGTTAACCCCTCTTAAAAATCGTGTCCCCTTGGAAGGACGGAGTGTGAACGAGACAAACGTGGAGGAGAGATGAATGTGGTCTAGTGGTTAGAGAGCTGAAGGGTGGGACGGGACCCAGGTTCAGAATCCTTAATTCTGCGTGAAATTCACTGGGTGACCTTGGACCAAAATCTACATGTCCGAATTTACTTCAAAGGGAAGATTGTCCTGAATCGAAGATGATTTCCTCATCTGCACTCTTGCTCTTTTCTACTAGACCTCGCCTTGAAAAAAACTTCGTTGGTCTTAAAGATGCCACTGGACTCTAACTTCTGTTGCTTCAGACCAACATGGCTGCCCACTTAGACCTTTAGAATCCTTAATTTTGCGTGAAATTTACTGGGTGACCTTGGGCCAAAATCTACACGTCCGAATTTACTTAAAAAGGAAGATTGTCCTGAATCGAAGATGATCTCCTCATCTGCACTCTTGCTCTTTTCTACTAGACCTCCCCTTGAAAAAAAAACTTCGTTGGTCTTAAAGATGCCACTGGACTCTAACTTCTGTTGCTTCAGACCAACATGGCTGCCCACTTAGACCTTCCCGGTGTAATGCACAAAATATTTTTTGTATTATTTTGGGCATCACTCTATGTGAATTTAATATGGTCCCCCTTTTTATGGCATAGCTGGGAAAACCTAGGCTTGCACTTGAGTAAATACTGTAATATCTTTTATGAAGACCCACCGAAGAAAAGGTCTTATATGGATTTTGTTATTTGGTTTGTGGCTTTTGTTTTGTGCGGACTAATATGGTTGTTTACAACTTTCCCCCGTACTTTAAGGATGCCTTGGCCCACTGAGACTAAACTATCTCACAGGGTTAATGTTAAGATAAAAGAGGGATAAGGAAAACCATGTATATTGTCCTGATCTCATTAGGGGACACTCCCCCATTATATTAATTTTGGATTATCTGTCTTGTTGCAAACGGTTCTAGTAACTTAATACATTGGTGTTAGATTCATATTGCACAATGGCTTTTCCATCTGATATCACTAGATTCTGGTGGGGGGTTATTTTACGTTCTTGTTTTTTGTATATTTTAGGTGGCCTTGGCTTCGCCTTTAGTTTCTCCCCCGCCCCTCCATTTTTTGAGTACCATCTTTCTCTTTTTTTGCTCATTAGAGAACAGGCTGATTTGGAGTGCTGACACCCCCCCCCCATCAACAAAGAGTCTTGAAAACTTTTGTGAGCTAAAGCCTGCTATAGTCATCCACTTACTTGTGCAGGTAGCCACTTTGGAGAATGTGATACTGAGTTTGAGCAGTGTAATACTGGCACAACAAACTCACTGGAGGTTGCTTATTCCTGACTAAGGACTGGGAAAATGCAATTTCTAAGTTTTCCTAAGTCATAAAAATGTTTCTCCAGTAATATGCTGCTAAAGTGGGTAGGCTACTCCCAAAAGTGAATGTTCTGTAGCTCTGGGAGCAAATTTGGGGTTGCCATCAGGGAATGGCCCTAATCTGCAGAGAGCTAACTTCTTTTTTTGTATTCTTCTAAAACAATATTCTTTGTACATATGGGTGTCTTTTGGGTGTTTTCACGTTACACTGCTAAAGAACACCACATGTTGATTTAATCAACATTATTGGAGGATGGGAGGTTGTGATTTGAAGGTTGGGGAGTATGCCTAATAAATATCTATGGTTTCCTTACCAAGTTAAAACTCCCAAGATTTTTGGTAGAAGCTATACCCTTTAAATCAGTAGAAAGTCTGTATGCTGTTGTAGGGTAGATCAGTTCCTAAAAGGGCTATTTTTATTGCACATTAATATTATGGAAGATGTATAATACCCTTTAAATCAGTAGAAAGTCTGTATGCTGTTGTAGGGTAGATCAGTTCCTAAAAGGGCTATTTTTATTGCACATTAATATTATGGAAGATGTATTGATCGTATGTTGTGACTGCTTTAGAGTTTACAAGTGCATTATGGAAAGTGGATGCATAAAAAACACTTTAACCTCTCTGTGAGTAAATGCCCTTCACCCTTCTTGCATGGTTGTTTTACTTGGTGCATGGATGGTACAATTAAGAGCGTAACATTTCCAGTGTAAAGCTGATGCTTGAGGCATTCATCTGGTGGTGTGTGGAGGTCCAGGTTTTGGTGTGAATGCATGTTTTCAAAATTTGCTAAGGCTTGTTACAGTGGTATGTTGAACAATGGTGTAATTGAAGTGTATGGAAGAGGAGTCTGGATCTTCATAGCAGGAATTGGGCTGTCTGTGGTGGATTAGCCTTACTGGCTTGTTAGAGAAGGAAGAGTCTCTTCTGTGTTTGTTAAAAACAAAAACCAATAGCATTCTTCAATGGAAGAACAAAACAAAGCTTAATTATGCAAGGCAAACTTTCTGTTGCCTCCTTGAGGTAAAGGGGTGGGGAAAAAATCTTCAAAATTATTTCACAGGTGAGTTTCAGGCATTCATGCTTGGTGGACATTGACAGGCACAACTTTTCCTATATCTTTAATTAAAGGAGGTTTTTTTGGATGGAAGCTTTTAGAAGTAATTCAGATCTGCTACTACTAGTTCAAGCTTGTTCTAATGTATGTGTGGTTTCTGCAGCTGAGGCATTTCTGGGAAGCAGATAAATGACTTCTTAAATGTTGATACAGATTCCTTCATCAGTGCATTTGGATTTTTGGTCTACATGCCTCTTTGCCTGCATGCTAGGTGTGCTGTCTTATTGCAGAATGTTGTTTAGTATTTTAGCATACATGCTTGCCACAGACATTTCAGGACCTACAGCTTTCAAGACAAAAAGGTGCTTGCAGTTTTAAGGCATGACTTGGTCTGATTACCTGTCAAGGTTTTAGATCCAGAAGTTAGCCATGTGAATCTGTTGCTGCAAAATAGTAAAAAGCCAAGTAGCACCTTTAAGACTGACAAACTTGTGGCATAAGCTTTTGAGAAATACAGCTCTCTTCCTCAGATGCATGGAAGGTATGAAGAAACTGTCCAGAGACATATGGGTGGTAAGGGGAGGGGGGGCGAGGATGCAGAAAGTGCCATGTAAATGCAAAGCAGTTGCAAAAGTCAATAAAAAGGTTGAATGGGCAATCCAGGCTGGGTGTGACCCCTTCCATCTATTGATGAATCTGAATGGAGTACCTGAAAGGCAGTTAACTTCTGGTAATGAGATAACCATCCAAAGTCTCTATTCAAGCCAAGTCTGAGTCAAATTTACATATGAATTCCAATTCAGCAGCTTCCCCTTGGATTTTGGTTTTGAAATGTTTCTGTTGAACTACGGTGACCTTTAAGTCCTTGATGGAATGTCCTGGTTGATTGAAGTGTTCTCCTACTGGTTTCTGGATGTTGCCATTTTTTAATGTCAGATTTGTGTCCATTTATTCTCTTGCATAGTGGTTGGCTGGTTTGTCCTATGTACAGAGCAGAGTGGCATTGTTGGCACATGAGAGCATATATCACATTGGAGGATGATCAGCTGTAAAGCCAGAGATTGTGTAGTTGATGCCATTGGGTCCTGTAATCGTATTTTTTGGGTGGATATATAGGAAGAATTGGCATCTGGGTCCATTGTGGAGTCTGGTTCCTGTGTTTGTGACTCCATTAGATGGTTCATGGTGGTTAGTGAGAAGTTGTTTAAGGTTGGGGGGCTGTCTGTAGGCAAGGAGAGGTCTTTCACCCAGGGCTTGTGAGAGAGAGGCATCATTTTCTAGGATGGGCTGTAGATCACTGATGATATGTTGGACTGGTTTGAGCTGGGAACTATAGGTGACAACCAGTGGTGTTCTGTTGTTGTTGTTGTTGTTTTTTGTCCTGGAGTAGGATGTTTCTGGGTATTAGTCTGACCCTGTTAATTTGTTTCCTCGCCTCGTTTGGTGGGTACTGTAGTCCCAAAAATTCTTGTTGTAAATCCCTTAAGTGAGAGTCCCAATCCAGAGCATTGGAGCAGATATGACTGTAACGTAAAGCTTGGCTGTAGACGATCAACAGAATGGTATGCTTTGGGTAGTAGCTGGAGGCATGTAGATATGAATATCAGTTGGTGGGTTTCTGGTATAAGGTAGTGTTTCTCTGTCATCATGTAGTTGTACAGTGGTTTCCAGAAAGTGTACCTGTTGTGTAGAGTGGTCCAGGCTCAGGTTGATGGTGGGATGATATTCCTGATGGCTTGCAGTCCATCTGCATGTGGGATGTTGGTGTACAGGTTTTGTTTTTGTGTTGGGCCAAAGGGTGTTTGCATCCCCCCCCCACTAAACAGTATTTACATTACTCTATTCCATTTTACATCTGCTGAGTCTTGAGACCAGAGTCTGCAAGTGAGTCCAACACTAAAGAGCCACATGTTGCTTTACCAAATGCAACAGATTAATTTGGAAATTCTGGACATTCTTGGAAGAGAGGCTGAACTGCATAGGTTGCAATGTTGCATATGGAAATGGAGGCAAGCCTCATGTTTGTTTTAGTCTTTGATCTCCAGTAGTATATGGACAGATGGGAGTATTACCTTGGGGGCTTATTACGGGTTTCTCAGTGAAGGACGAAGATGAGGACCAAGAGTCCACTCCAGCTTCCCTGTATGAGCCACGAGTGTTCTGTGTGATGTCCATCAGAATCATAGGTAATATGCAGGAAATTAGTAGGTAAGAGTTTGTGAGCAGACAAGTTGATGCGGACAGTTGCACGAAAGTGTAAAGTTTTAGGAAAACACTGACCTGAAGGTAGAGTCTTGTATTCTTGGTGTCATTAGCAAATAAAAGCAATGCTATATTGTTGAAAGGACTATGTTGAAAGACAGGTCTTTCTTACTTTATTTGTTTGATTATATTTTTGCAAAAACATTTCCCACCAC